TGATATTCACATAAAGTATACTATACTCTCCTGATCCAGCATACACAAGCCGAAGAAGTCTCTGATCTGCTAACACGTGGTCCCTTTTAGCCAGTCTGTTTTTCCTCATCCCATTTCACTTCCATGAGAATGACAAAATCCTTTGATTTCCTATCTTCCTCTAACTCCCATTTAACTCTCTAGGATAGTCAAAAGAATCAACAAAATATTGCCTTGATATAATTATGTAGTTTATCTTGTAGAAACTCTTGAGTTTCTACTTTTGTGTCATCTAACTGGGAGAGGTACAATTCATATAATGTCATTAAGCAGTTCACAGCCATACATGTGAACAGCTGTGGTGACAGAGCAGAAAAAAAAGAAAAAAGGATGTTACTAGTTATATAAACCCATTTAACGTTAAACGTGCATGTCTTTAATTAGTGAGGTGTATGGCAACCTCTAGTGGTTTATGCCTGCTTCGAAAAGAGCAAGCATCCAACTACAGGCATGCCACAGGACACTATAGGAAGCAGACTAACTATATCTCTATATAGGATAGATAACTATCTCTTTTTGTGATATAAATATCACAAAAGTGTTTTCGAAATAAGTTAGAGGAATTATTCTCAAGTGAAGTGTAGCTTTAAGTGACACATTGAATTCTTGCAATAATATGCCACCGAGCTGTGCACTTTTACTTATTAGCAACTGTGCTAGCAGGGCAAACGAGGCCGATCTGAGCAAACGGGTACAAGCTGGGCTGCCCAAGCAGCCAAGCAAAGGAAAACCCTGTGCTGGGTGCGGGTGGGCAGCTGCCCACCTGGCTCGGACCTGCTGCTCAGGTACTATGAGGCAGCCTCTGGCAGTCCAATGGGTTGTGCCAACACCAACACCCATGCAGATATTTTTATAAGGGCCTCCTAGGATTATCTGACCACCACAGGTGTCAGCCCTTGACAAGTGCAGCGCAGGTAGTATTTTTAACACTGTGTTGATGCAATAGTTTCTATCTAATTGTAAGCAAACCCTTGCACAGTTCATAAGATACCAGAAGAAGAGTGGAGGGTTCATATATGGATATTTGAAGTCAGGGCAGTCTACAGCAGAGGACATTCAGCATTAATTGCATCCTGCCCGGTATCTGATTATAAAACATCTATTATATCTATTTTTATTTCCAGCAGCTGCTTGGGATAAGAAGATTCACAGAAATCTGCCAATTTTCTTGCCTGTTGGAAGGTGACATAAATAATAAACATTATAAAGTTTTATTTTACTGACATTCTAGCTGTCATCTGTAGAATATTCTCATATTCTTGGTTTTCATAGAAAAGAGACTATTCCTTCCCAGGAATCAAGGTGAGGCTGACGCAGCCTGCAGTTCCAGCCTCACAATGTGGGTATGGGTTAAGTCTTCCTTAAGTCTCTGCTCAGAAGAGGATTACGGAAAAATGCCTGCATGGAAATAGAATTATTTCTCACATTACAGAAGGAATCAGAGCATCTGGCGAGGCCTGAAGTACAACTGCCTGTTCACTTGTCTTGCTAAGGAGACTTTAAGTTAAGAGCCTAACATCTATTATAACTTTTAAAACTATATAAAATATTTAGTAATGAAGTCGTGTTTTCTTTTTAGGGTCTTCCTTCAGGGGAAAGGCTTTTCCCATTATGAAAATTATTGCGGTTTATTCTCTCACGGGGTTGCTTGCACTCTGATGACAGGGTCAAAATCTAAATAATAAATAATAGTAAATACTCTGCTTTACGAACAAGGAGCAACTTGGGTCCATCAGTGGCAGCTAGATTTAATAATAGTGACTAACTGGCTCCATAAGCTGGGAAAAGGAAGTACCAAATATCTCTTACGTAATACACGTGCTCATAAATATTTATTCCTATTGCTTTTCTTGATAATCAAAACTTATAAATAAACAATTCAACTTGAGGAAATCATCTTGAAGGGAAATCTGTTTTAAAAGTCTTTCTTTATGGTGCTTAAGCCTGCTTGGGAATGAGAAAGCTCCTGAGAAGAAAATTCTACTAGGTTTGCAGTAAGCCCTTAGAGGAGAAATGCTCCTCTGGGGCTTACTTCTCCTTACTCCTCATGCCATAGTGCCACAGGGCATTTTACTACAGAATTTAATACTTTTTTTTTTACAGTAAGGTCTTTGAATGTATAAGCAATCACAATCACAGTGACAAATTAAGTCACAACCTTGGTGGCCGCTTTTATATATAAATATTATACAAAATTTTATATATATACAGTCCAGATGTACAGCTTCTAATACAAACAGGATTTGGGGACAATATCATACACCGAAAAAAATAATCCAGTATATTACTTAAACCTCCTCCCGGTTTTCTGGTGCTGTTTCAAATTTAAGACCAAGTGCTCTCATTACAGTTTCTATTATACAGCAATAAAGAGTGTTTGCTTATGAAAGGGCAGTTGCTTAAAAACGTTCATGCCGAGTATCTTCAGAGTACATAAAAACATCATATTCTATATGAACTGTAATAAAGATACTGCCCTTTGATTCACAACTCCTTCAAACTGATAAATATGCCCATTTTCTGGGTCTAACCTCACATTATTTCCACGCAGGACTCCAACCTCGACAACCCCCAATGGTCGGCACAACCAGCACCCTGCTCAGGCCACTTGCCTCTCATATTAGTCTCTCTATATTTTTTTCCAAATGCTATAGGGTCATTAACTCCCATATGTCCCCTTTGCCCCAAAGATCGCCGAGGGGTTGGCCTCAAGCACAGTCTTAGGCTCTGAATAAAGCCAAAGCGGAGCAATTCTCAGAGCGTTTGAGCCTTTACAAACATTAATGGCAATAACTCTTTGTCTCCAACCCCGTGCCAAGTCTCTGCTAAATGCTGTACAGAAATCAATGAAGGCTGCGGCTAACAGCCTTCATTTTTTGAAGAAATAAGGATTTTGAATACGTCACTATTTTCTTTGCTCTGACTTCTCTATTTTTCCTGCGTATTATCTTTCAAATGTGCCTTTATTAGTTCTTCATACAATCAAAGAGCAGCCCCTGATGATTTTGCACATAATTTAAGTGCAGCAATTTTTCTCTTTGTTTACTGCCATTCACCATTATGGCCTCGCTTCTGCACATAACAGCATGAAGCAACAGCAAAAATTTGCAATTATACCGCCAATAAGAACATTAGCACAATTACTTCACCATTAAAATCAAGCAGTCAGTGTTACAGGGACTTTTTAACGTTGCATGTCTAGACAGAAGATGAATACACCAAGTTGTTGACATTTTGCATGCAAGGAGTGCAAGAGGATTTCAGTGTATTGCACATCCTCCTTTGGCTCTTGAGATGGGTCTTAAGCCTTAGAGGGGGGTTAAAGTGCCCCAAAGATGCAAAAACAGCACAAAAAAGCTAGAAAGCCCATTAGGAAAAATGCAGGTGCCAGAAGGAGTCTTGCTGCCTCTAAATGCTCCTGCTGGGATTCAATCAAAGCAGAAGGGCTGAGCTCAGATGAAACTGAGGAAGCAGTAGTAGAATAGAAATGCAAGAAATAAGAAAAAAAACAACTCTGAAGCAGGCAGTGATATATCACAGTAAGAATGAGACTGAGTCTGGGAGCTTCAGGGTATCATATCTCACGACATCCACATCCAACCAGGCAGTGGGATCTACGTCTTCATTTCAGAAATCTGCATCAGTAAAGACTTGGAAAGCTGAGAAAAAATGCACATATATCCAAACCTGCCACTGAAGAAAGGAGAAGTACAGGAGAAGTCTCCTATTCTATGTCTCATATGAGAGACATTATCAAAAGACAAGCAGAAAACAAAACAAAAAAACTAATTCAAACGCCAAACACCCATTAATGTTGCCAGGGTATGAAAAAATTGTGGGTGTCAAGCAGGGAGAAGACAATAACAGGACACACTCATGTTGGATAGCTAAATATACATTAAATATACACGGGGAAGCGAGCATTTCTAGAACAGAAGGGGCAGAGTGAGAATTAAATCTTAATAGCAGTGGTCTAGGAATGAAATGTATTTCTAGTTAACCCAGTCCTTTACGAAGTGCACAGGTACACGATTACCATTCATTTATTTTTGGCATACAACCTACACTTGCTGAGCTCTATAAAACTCCACGTTGCTTTAATAAGGACCTTCCTGGTTTGCTTTGGGGTGTGCAGCAGGTTGGCTGCAAAGATATCGGTACCTGCTGCATGGTTACCTGTCTTTACATAGTGGTCTGCAGCAGAGCACAGAAAAAATATAAAACAAAAAAAGAGCAGGACTAACTTCAATATCTGCTTCTCCAAAGTTACACTGTTCGGGGAACCAGAGCAGATAACAACTTATCACTATAAATAACATTTGAAAATTACAGCTGTAGGGTCTAAGGCTCGTATTTACAGGACCTCACCACAAAATAATCATTATATTTTCACAGAATGTTTAAGGTTGGAAAGGCCTCTAGAGATCATCTCGTCCAGCCATCCTGCTCAAGCAGGGACACCTAGAGCATGTGGCACAGGGTGGCATCCAGATGGGTTTTGAAGACCTCCAAAGAAGGAGACTCCACAACTTCTCTATTCTGATTTAACAAAAAAATCTTTTGCCAAATGCGCAGGAAGACCTGAATGGAGCTGAAAACCCAGTGTGTGCAGTATGCGAGAACCACCCCACAGGGCAGCTTTGTGATAACCTGATGCATGGCTAAAAAAACATAGTTCCTACAAACCACTGAAAAGCCTCCAGTTTAAAAGTAGCTGCTAATCTTTTCTGTTAAGAGAACAGTCAGAAATTTCTCAGAGAAGCCACTGCTGTTTGTGCATTCAGGACAAACCAGGCTCTAGAAGCACGGCACATTCACTCAGGATTAACTGAATTTCAGTTTCTGTTACTTAGCTCAACCACATCTATTAAGACACATAAAATTCAAGCTCCTCTACTCCCGGCTTTCAGTAAAGAAGGACGAGTTTAAATGGAGCTCTGTTTCAGATGTCTTGTATTTACCTGATGATCCTCTGAGCAGCATATTGATGAAGTGAGCGGAACTGCGCTGACATATTTGCTAAGGCTGCCAGACAATTTGTGTGAAGGTACTTGTCCTGTTGGGAAAAAGAGAGGAGAGAAACACATTAACTCTCCCTTCTATATACCGAGTTACCTGCTAAAGGAACCCCTCAGAAGACCAGTAAATAAATATCTGTTGTGTTGTAGGTAGTGGTCAAATGTGTACAGCAGAACTGCTTGGTGTACGTGGGGATGTTTTCTATAAGACTTTTAAGAGTGATTTAATAGAGATATTAATGTGTGGGCACACAGATATCTGTGTGTGTGCCCTTATATCTTTAGCAATGTTGATTTACAATATCATGAATGTGACCATTACTGAAAGACGTTTTCCTCCCCTAACTTTTATAATCTTATCCTAAATGTTCTGCTTTGCAACTTTTGATCTTCCTGCTAACTCCTTCTAACCATCTAGGTATCCCACTTCCCCCCAACTTTTACCATATGCTACTTTAGGGCTCTGCTCCCCTTGTTAGCAAAAAATCATTTGACCAGATAAGCATTTCAATGACACGTCTATCAAAGCAAAGGCTTCTCACAGACATGACGAAGTTTAGATTCCACAGCTAAATGGGAGTCTTCACTACCAGCTAAGCTTGCCCACAGCCAAGTAAACGCAGATGAGAATACTGCTCAAAAGGGGAAAAATGAATTAATCTTAAATCAGCATACTGACTTATGTGACAATATTAAAAGAGTAGTTTCCAACTGTACATTCAACTGTTCAAAGAGACAGCCACCCAACTTCCAGACTTCACTTCCTGAGAAAGATAGCACTACACGTTAGCGTTTCTACAAGTGAAGGATTTCTTTTCTCTAGGCATATTTAAAATGTATCTTTATACCAGAGCACAACAAATTTGAAATTCCACTGATATATACCAAAAATCATCTCTTCTGGTTGGTATCATCATAAATCCTTACCTTCTCCAAAGCAAAATATATTTAAAGATTTTTTGCATTGTCTTCATGTACAAAGTGCTGTGACTTTATTTGTTAAAAGTATGTTAAAATGCACAATACCATCATTCTATGTTTAATAGAAAGTTTGGAAACGTATTTGTGTGTATAGAAATTTCCAGACATAACCTATACAGTTGTGAAGCCGAGGAAGTTATGCTTCGTCAGAACATGAAATGGTCTTATTCAGTCACTGTACTATTACACTAAAAAGAAAGAAAAGTCTAACAGAGTTGAAATTTCTCCTTCATAGTAACTTCACACAGATTAAAAAAAGCTCTAAGTCTTTATGTGGATTTTTTCTTATTTGGACTCTGATTCATTTAAGAATTACATATCTAGTTCTGCACTTTGATTATGGAATTTAGAAAATTTTATCCAGCAAACTGAATGATAATACAGAAATTGTGCTCCGTGTTCAAAAGTACTCAATATTATGTTTAATGAATACAGCTGATCTCCCATATCCTTTCCTCCTATAGCTTCAGATGCCAAGTGGTTGCAACAGAACTTGGAAAACACCCTGTTTGTGGAGTGGATTTCTACCTTCAGCAGCACGCACCTAAGTGTTCAATAGGACTCTTACCCTTGTCCGCGTCATGTTGTATTGGATGGTTCTTATCACAACCAGTATCAGAAGACTTCCAAGGGAGATCTCTGTTAAGACTCGTTCAGCATACCAAGTGATATTTTTCAGTATCTGAAAAAAGAAAAAGAACAGAAAGTTCTTTAGCACTTAGGTCTACCCTAAGAACTCAACAAAACCTCTGGACTCTCACATCCTTTCACAAAACCAGAGGGACTACAAAGTGAAAAATAAACAGTAAGGGCTGTGCTGTATTATCACCTGATCTCATCAGTTTTTTATAAGCTACGTGGATACACACTGCCAGGAAAGATGATTAAAACGAGCTATTTCATAATTTCTATTCTGTTGCATCTTTTCTGATACATTCTTCTCAGTGGTGGCCAGTGCCAGGACACGGGGCAGTGGGTGCCAGTTGCAGCGCAGGCAGCTCCATGTGCCCGTGAGGAAGAGCTTGTTTGGKGTGAGGGTGCCCAGCCCTGGCCCAGGCTGCCCAGGGAGGCTGCGGAGGCTCCTGCTCTGCAGATCTGCCAACCCGCCGGGATGTGACCGGGTGCCCCGAGCTCTGATCCTTAGAGGTCCCTTCCAACCTCAACCACTTTGGGATCTGATCATCTTCACATGTCTGAAGGTCTCTGGGGCTGCACTTGCCATCTGCACAGTGTCCCCAAATCCTTCTTGTTTTCCCTCATGACAAGTTGGGCCAGAGGCAGCACGTGCAAGCTCTGAGCGAGCAGCCAGCAGACTCGCACTGAAGGATGCCCAGCCTACCAGTGGGAGAGCTGCTGGCTTCATCCTGACGCCTCTGTCTTGGTGGTGAGGTTGCTCTCCTTCACCTAGCTGACAGTTTTCACCAAGTGAAGAGTCTCCTATCTGTGCACGCTCTCCACTATCAGGTTGACCATGTCCAAGGATCCTGCATGAGGAGAATCAATATGTTCTTTCCTCCCAGGATCTTCAGACAACTCACCTGGAGCAATATAACAGACTTGCACCCAAGATCTGCCCTGAAAATGAATAAAGGCCCAATAATACAAGCTTACAGGAACTGCCCTAACAAATATGGATAAGAGCATCCTCTATAAGCTCAGGTTTCTCTGGAGAGTAAAGACAAGAATTTGCTCTCAAGGGTTATTTCACACAAAGCTATCACTTTTTTTTTTCTTTAATATATGAGGCACATTTCAGTGAAATGCCATGTTTTACAAGAATGAGGATGTCTCAAAAAATCTATGCCACATCAACTTGATTGACTAATGCCATTAATTAACCTCTTTTCTCAAGAAGTCATACAACAGCATCATCTTCTGACTGCGGCCCTTCTTCGCACCCCTTTTTTGACCTCAAAAAGTTTCTTGCCATTCCATTTTCATCATTTTTGCTTTTAGGTATCCCACATCCTCAGGCTGACTAATGGTCCAGTTAGCAAAGCCTCTTGCTTCTCTAAGAGAAGGGATGAGTAAGTCAGTAGTAACTAGTTTCCTGCAAAAAAGAGATAGAGATCCAGCCACTGAATGACTTGCAGAAGAAAAGAGAATACTGGAAACCACTGGAAGCTGTTGCTGTTTTTACACTATTTACCTTTCTGTCTGAGATGAAGACACACACTCTGATATATTTATAGGTATTCCTTCTATGCAGAATATTTTTAAAGAAAAGCAAGTACAGATGCTTTCAGAATCCAAAGCCTCGTATAGTTGCCCCAAATCTACACAACGTTACGTGCACAGGATTGTCTAACACAGGGTTATCTACGCTCCATGGACGTAACACTGAAGTTGCAAGCTCTGCAACACTGGCAGCAAGGTCCAGGTCCAACAACGCTCAGGCATCTGCAGCAAAGGAGCATTACACCATTGCAGCCCTCTCTGGCAACACAGGGATCTTCCACCAGAATTCAACACTGCCAAGTGACTCTACATCTGAACACAGGAAAATCAGTTGTGCCCACACATGGATTTAAGGTGTGGGCATGAGCTAGCCTGGAAAAATACACAAACCTAGCAAAACTATTGTTAGGTACTTAAAGCCCTAGATTTATTTGTTGGAGGTGCAAAACTCCCACTCGCTCACAGGAATAGAAAAAGGTGACTTAGTTTGACTGATAATCAAGTGTTTACTACTCTACAGTGATTGAAAGTCAGGCTTTAAGTGATGTCTCTACTTGCTTACTAATCACCGAAGAGCACTGGAATCCAAACAGGTCACCACATATTTTTAGCTTCTATAGAGTTAAATTTGTCATTTAGAATTTGGCATGGTGTGCATTTAAGAAGATTAATAATTATGGTAATACACACTGTTCTGCGCGCTTACAGATCACAGACACTCCACACGGTTACGCTCCCTCTGATGTTTAGGATCTTAAACACTTTCTATTAAAAGCACTTTAACGTCACACTTCAGACCATAAATTAATTAGAAACTAAAGAAAATCATTAGGGCACATGAAGTGCCTACTGGTTGGCCTCATAATTCAGTATACTTTGCCATCTTATTTATCTCTGCAAAAGAGTACTTGGAAATATATATGGAAATATATATCCTCTCTCTCCCCATTTTGCCTCTGCTTCACCATGACCATCCAAACCCAGTGGAAAGAGTTGACCATCTGCCCACCCGCTGGCTCAAGACCTTAAAGTGAGGTAGTAGCAGATTATAATGACAAAGAACAGAAATAAAAACAAATGTATTTTGTAACTGAGGAGACCTGAGCTTACAAATACTTCATAATCTCTATCACTAGTCATTAAAGCTGAGTTTTATTTCCTCATGGCATCAGACATACTAAGTACAATTAAATACTAATTTGGTATGTTTTTAAAATTGTTATGGAAATTATCAATCCCTGAATTGTATTGGAACTGGAAAGAAATGCACTCTGCTACCCCATTGCCAGGACAGGGCTGCTCTTTGGGGCCCACACTCAAAAATCCTTGTTCAGTGCTGTTTTAAATGACTCAAGCAATCAAGTTCCCACTTGGTAGACTACTCCAGAGCTCAAACATCTCAATACTAGGATTGGTTTTCCTCCATGGCTTCCAATCTGCTTTTCTATCTTTACCCATTATTATCCCACTCTGTTTTATACTACTCTGATGGATCTTCATAAGCATTTCCTCTCTTAAGATTAGCTAGCTTAACCACACTTTTCTCTTTCATGTCATTTAAGGGCACATTGCAACAATTTTTTTTTGTTTGTATGCATTTTAAGCTTTCCAATTGCCAAATCACATATACTTAAATTATACACAAACCTTTTACCATCAGAGCACTAGTTCTGGTGATCCTGGTTGGTTTTGTATGTCAACTTCTGTCCTTAAATCTCAACCAAAAGGTACGTCACAGATATCTCTGCTTTGCAGGCTTTATTTTGTTACTGGTTGGGCTAAAGTCTTCCCTGCCCTTCCACAGAATAACCCCACCTAGGCCCTTAAAAAGCATTTTCACCAGCTGGAAAACACAAAGGAAAGTTCGACCCATCCTCTGGAAGTCACCTGAAAGCACCATGGCATTCGTGATGATCAGAAACATTTGAAAAGAGCTGAATTAAGAAGGAAACAAACATCTTTAAAAAGGTAGTAGCATTCTAGCACAAATTCTTCTTTGGGGCGAATTTGCCCAGTGTTTGTGGCATGGGTATTGCTTGCAAAATGAACTGGGTTTTGCTCAACACAAGGCTCTGGGAGATCTTTACTTCCCTCAGCACACTCTAGCATCCTATTGAAAGTAATATGAAATACTCTAGAAATAAGGCAAGAAATAACATGTGTTTTATCAAAATTCTGAGGCAATAGGGTCTAAAGAAAAATCCAAGGGAAAAAAGAAGAAACCTATCAACTTTATTTCAGACAGAGGCGATGCTTTGGAAGCCCAGTCTTTAAAATGTTTACCCAATAACCTTCCAGGCTCTGCTCGTCACACACTTACCCTTCTCCATTTACCTCCCACCCTTCCTCTTGCGGTACCTCCTTCTCTGTCTCCTAATTCTCCTCCACAAGAGACATTTGAAATCGCTTCCGCATTATGATTAACCTTTCTCCCACACTTCATTCCTCCAGTAGGAAGGAGGCCTCCCAGGGCCCTTCCTTCGCAGAGTATTCCCACGAAGGGCACCTCTCTCCAAATAACCCTGTTTGGCATTAGCTGAAAGGACTAGTGTTTTTCAGATTAATCTCCAAAAGAAAGAGGATTCATATCTGTTTAGCACATTTACACTTTCCAAGACCATGCACAATGCCATGGAAAAAGAATGACATTCCAGTTATCATCACAGCTTAAAGGACTACAATTAATAAGTCAAAAAATATATTTGGTAGGTTCATGAAACTTGTCTCAGTGCCTCAACTAATGCAGCTCGAGATACACAAGATGACTTCTGTACCATATATGAAATATCTATCTCTATATATATCTTGTCACAAGCTACATATCTGAAAGGCTAAAAAAAAAATGTTAGTTGTCTGACATTGGCTGCAACTTTAAAGTATGCATTAAAGTAAGTATTAAAAGCTCTGGCTGCCTCATGGAGAACCCTGCTATGAGCCAAGCGTGAAGCTCCGTGTGAAATGGTCACCACGAGATCTACAGCAGCTCACCAAGAAACAGCAGGCAGGAAACAAGGGCTTGAGACTAGCGGTAAGGAAAGTTCTGTATGTTTTAAAATTTGCTTTACAAAAAGGAAAGGGCGGTTTGTCAAACCAGAAGAAAAATAAGAGACTATTGCTCAGAAAAACTGAATAGGACCCAGAAAATTGAAAATCTCTTGTGACCAGCATAGCTGGACACAAAAACAAATATGGAATGAGGTAGTGGTTAAAAGTAGACAAGTTCTGTCAGCACCTTCCACTTTCCCACCATGGAGCTGAAGCAAAGCAAATGGCCATAACCTATAGTTGGGAAAAATACACTTTCCGTCACATTGTTTCATAGTCCTGCAGTGCTGGTGAGGGCGAAAAATGTCACCAGCAACATGCTAAGGTGTGAACGTTTCTCGTAAACAGTTTCTTCTGCTAAAAGGAAAGGAGATCGGAATGAGAGGGAAAGGCTTAAGACATATTTAAGGAAGCAGTAGTCAAGGCTGAGGAACAAAGAGCTGCTACAAAATACAAAAG